TGTCTCTTTCACATTGATGTTTCTCTCTCTCCCTCTCCCTCCCTCCCTCCCTTCCATTCTTCCACTCTCTTTAAAATGCAATGGGAAAAATATCCTCAGGTGAGGATAACCCAAAGAAAGAAGGCAATTCCTTTCAACTCATGTACAAAATTGGAGAGGAAGGAAGAGGGAGCTAGAAACATAAACATCCATCAGCTGCCTCCTGCACGCCCCCTACTGGGGATCAATCCCACAACTCAGCCATGACCAGGAATTAATTGAACAGGTGACCCCTTGATGCACTGGGTGATGCTCAATCCACTGAGCCACACCGGCCAGGCTCTAGCAGGATTTTTAATTGAATTTGACAATTAAAAAAAAATTATTCTGGAAGAGAAAATATGTAAGAATAACAAAAAAATTTTAAATAAAAAAACGAGGAAGGCTTTCTCTATCAGATATCAAACTGTAAAGTAAAAGTGAAACTGTGGTGTGGGCGTAGAAGTAGGCAGACAAACAGATCAATGTGACAGACCAGAGTCCAGAAAGAGAGCCATGTGAAATTTCACATGAATGGGGAAAGAAGGACTATTCCACAGCGGGCAACATCTGGAAAATAAGGCCAGCTGTTGTCTTCACCGAGACGAAAAAATTTGCTCCAGGTGGATCAAAGAGCGAAGCATAAACACCTTTGATCTAAAAGCAGTTGAAAAACATATATAGGGGAATGTGCGAATAGCCTTGAGGTCGAGAAGGCACAAAATAATACACAAAACGAAAATGGCATGAAAACATTTATAATGATTACATCAGAATTTTAAAATTCTGCGCCATAAAAGACACCAAGATTACAATACAAGCAAAATGCATAAATATTGACATATACACATACACACGTGTGTGTGTGTGTGTGTGTAGTTTCTTATAAATCAATAAGAAAAAGACAAACAACCCAATGGAAAATGGGCAAAGACTATGGCTAGGCACTTCACAGAAGAGCTTCAAAGGGCCAGGAAACGAGGAAACGCGTACTCACTAGTAAACAGCAACACAAACGAAAGCAGGAATGAGTGTCCCTCCGTCCAACTGGGAAGCAGAAGGGAGCAGAGCTGAGTGGAGGGAGCAGTGTAGGTAGACAGAGAACTTCCAGGGTTGGTGAAGAGGAGAGGAAATGGGCACTCTTACATACTACTGGGCCGATATCATTGGTTCCATGTTTTTGGAAGATGTTAGCTCCATCTATTAAAATAATATTTAAAAACTCTTCAATACAGTCCGTGTCTGGATTTCTACTCCTGAAATACTTGGAGACATGCTCCATGGAGCATGGAAAGGGTGTTTGCTATGGGCGCTGCGCTGGGTGTGAGGAGGGAAGCTCGGCTCGAACCCTGCCATCCTGGGGTGAGATGGTGTCACTGTGCAGGGAACAGGAACCGTCCTGGAGGGTGAGGTTAAGGCAGGGATAAAGGGCGCTGGGCCCCAGGAAGCTCAGCGCAGGTCTCCCTCCAGGCTGGAGGGCAGGCTGGGGCAGAGGGCACCGGGAGGCTGCCTGGGGGGTGGGGCTATGTAGGTCTGAAATGAGGAGCAGCAGTTAGCCCAAGGACAGTGGGTGGAGGACAATCCAGGAGAAAGACAACTTGTTTAAAGTCTCCGAGGCAAGAGAGAAGACGGTCTTTTCAAAAACCAAGAAGCAGAGGTGCTACCAATTCCGGGGTGAGACGTGCTGTGAGAAATGTCAGGAGCTGACGATGGACTTTACCCCACTGGTGACGAGGGGCACAGGTGGGGCGGGGGACACAGTCTGAGCGGCTCCTCAGGAAGCTCCTGCGGCAGCCGTGCGCGGCAGGTCTGGGAGAGGAAGGCTGGGGCGAAGAGGAGAGCCCGTTGGTGGCGGTGGGAGGGACGGGAGGGTCAGTGAGGACCAGAGGACTTCAGGCTGCCCGGAGGTGGGGGTCAGGGATGACTTTCTGGCTGGGGGCTGGATGGATGGTGACACCATTTGCTGAGAGAATCAGGTGACTTGGGCCTGTTCGTTTATGGGGACCCCTATTAATCAGCCCATGTGGGAGAACGACCAAGGGCCCAAGACCTTACAGCATTGTGGGGTCAGGTCTCACCTCACTGGCCCCTCGCCTTTGAAATCTGGGGTGGCTACCCACGCCGTCCATGCCCTCGCCCGCAGAGACCCGGCACGTGTGGGCTGCAAGAAGGGAGGCCAGTGGACGGCTCCCAGGGCATCTCCTGAGACCGAGTCTCAGGACCCCCACCCACGGACACGAGACACCCAGATCCCCTCCGACCAGACCCAAATCCCTGCCACCAGGGAACCTGCCCAGCAGTTGGGTTTACGAAGCCATCACAGAGGCTCTTCGTGCCAGGGTACCACAGGCTCTGAGGACACAAGTCATCCAGTAAGTCCTTGTGGTTGGTCACAGGTGCCACCTGCTTCAGAAGGACTCCCATCGGCCTGCACGTCTGGATGGGAGACGGAGAGCCCCTGCTGTGTAGCCCAACAGCGGGGGTGCACAGGGCCAGGGCCAGGGGGTGGGTGCCCTCAGGATGCCTGGTTTGCAACTGTTTACCACCAGCCAACACTAAAGCATTTCACTATTTGACTGCGACCCTCATCCAGTGTGACGTCAGAGGTCCCCTGCCAGCCCCGGGCAGGCGGGGCAGGGGCTGGGCTCCTGCCCTCCCAGGTGTGTCATCCTGCATGGTCCCCTCCTGGCGCCTGAGAAGCCAAAGTAGAGATCCAGGCTGTCATCAGTCTTAAGCTGACCCCTAGGGGACAGCGGGGACACAGAAGGGCACTGAAGGCCTGGCCTATGGGATTAGGACCTGTCCCCAGGCTGGCCCCCTCTGCTCCCACACACAGGAGGAGCTGTGGTCTCACCCCTCCTGGCCTTTAGCCAAATGGAGCCCAGAGCCAAACATGAGAGGAGCCTGAGGCAGAAGGGGATTCATTCACATCATGGGGCCCGGGTCACCAACCTTCCCGACCCATCACCACAGGCGCCCACTCACCACACCCACCGACCCATCACCGCACCACCGACCCATCACCACAGGCGCCCACCGACTGATCACCACACCCACCGACCCATCACTGCACCCACTGGTGCAGCAGGCTGGCCTTTGGACTACCCCCCACCCCCTGCCAGCACACAGGAGCCCATGGTGAGGAACAGAGCCCAGGTCAACCAGGCTGCCCTACTGGGTGTTCAGGAGCAAGGCTGCCTGCTGTGTCTGGTGATCAATCGCCATCTTGCTGGGCTCTGGCCACCTGTACGGGCCAGACCCACATGGAGGGCAGAAAAGAGTTCACCCAGGAAGGCCTCATAGCGAAAGAAGTGAAAACCTATACGTGTGCAAGTCCAGAGGAAATGGGAGTGTGGGCTTGCTGAAATTCCACTGCTGTGATCTTTGCTTTTCTACGACCTCCAGGTTTTGTACCCTGGAAACACAATCATGCTTTAAAAACAGGCCGACCCCTTTGCTGGAGATTGGGTTATAAAACCCTTATCCAACGAGATTCCAGATTCAGAGAACTTCCAGGTTGGTGAGCACACACCTGGAGGAGGCACAGAATCTCTGTTCCAACCTGGCCCCATGCAAACTTCCCATTTGGCTGTTCCCGAGTTCTGTCCTTTATAATTAACCAAGAATAATAGTGAGGAAAAGAGTGAAGAAATAAAATGGAGTCTCTATAGTCAAACTGCTAAATTACGAAAATCAAGAAGACTGAGACACGAGGAAGTGATTCTATTCTTGTTTGAACGAGCCCTGGGAACGTAAACTTTCCAACCTTCCAGTCCTGCAGCAACGGCTGGACACACAGCAGACCTTCCAGAGAGCCCTCCAGTTATCCCCGGAAGGGCTGAGGAAAGAATGTGCCTGCATCCAGACCACCTGACATCCCTTATCTAGACCACCGGTCATCTTGAGGATTACATCTCGGACCAAGCCAGAGGTGAAGAATGCAGGCTGAGGATCTTCAAGAATGCAAGTTTCACTATAAGAATTCTCAGCGTTTCTTTCCTCAGAACACTGCTGGCCATGGCCTAGTTGTATTTCCAGTTTGCAAACCCTAGGGACCCTTGAAAAAGTCGCGATCGTTTATTTCTAGCCCAAACCTCCCGATTCTCTTTGAGTTAATTTGACAGTGGGTACGGTGTTTCCCTGCGTTCTGTGGGTCGTGTAGTGAACTGCTGAAGCTGAGGGGGTCATGGGAACCCCTGCATTCGCCGTCAGCCAGCAGAGACACGGGTGGCCTGGGTGCCCCCTTCGTGGCTGCCCCGAAGCGGGGCCGTCTTCTGAGACTGAGTCCTTGACCCTGGGTCTGGACTAACTCTGGGTAGTTAGTGTCAGAATCGAAATGAATTGCTGGACGCCCAGTTGTGTTGGCCCATGTAGGGACCCGCTGGCGCAGCGGGTTATGGCACGGGAGAAGAGGAAAACTTTGTCCTCCTGCCTGCTGTTCACCCCAAGCCTGTCACCTTCCCTCTCTGGGCTGTTTCTCCTTGGTGCCACAGAGGGAAAGGAAAGGTGCTCCGTGAGGGTCCCCACCCCCACGTTCCCTTCCGCGGCTTCCCAAGGGGCTTCACTGCTCAGGTTCCCAAAACTATTCTTTTTAATCCTCGCCTGAGGATATGTTTGTTGATTTCAGAGGGGAGGGGGGAGAAAAAGAGAGGAAAATGTCAATGTGAGAGAGAAACATCAATAGGTTACCTCCCATACATGCCCCAACTGGGGATCAAACCCAAAACCTAGGTATGTGCCCTGACCGGGAATCAAACCCACAACCTTTTGGTGTGCAGGATGACACTCTGGCCAACTGAGGCACCTGGCCAGGGCCAAAACTATTTCCTGACTTTGAAGCCAAAGGGTCCTCAAAGGAGTCTCTGGAACCCCCCAGACACCAGAAAGGTGAAGCCGAGGCAAGAAGACCAAGAAGGGCGGGGGCTGCAAGAGGTGCCCCCACTCCCTGAATGTGGCAGGGCTTGCGGCCGCCCCACTCTTACCTGCTCCACACAGTCGGGGATCTCCGGGGCGCAGGGCAGCGTGCCCACACCCTCCATGGACAGCACGTCCTTCAGCAGCTCCTCACACCCTGTGGACAGACAGACAGTGGAGGGTCAGGGCCTCAGCCTGGCACGACAGCTTTGCTTCTGATGCATAGGCCTCGCGTGGGAAAGGCCGCAGGAATAGCCTGTTTCCAGGAGACCAGTTGCTCATTCAAAGAGAGCCGGAATACCCAGGCTGCGAGGACGGCGGTCCAGGGCTCTGCGGAGGGAGCCAAGACAGGTCCTTACCCTCCAGATGAGTTTCCACTGGGACTAACCACAACAGGGAACACACAGAGAGGAGACTCCCAATGCGGGGGGCAACCTGAGGGCAATCAAGGAGGCCTTCCTGGAGGAAGGGATGTAGAACAATACTCCCTGCCTGGCTTGCAGGGACTCCAAAAGCACCCATTACCCTGAGGCTGAGGCCCCCTGCAGCTCTGCCAACTCCAGATGTCTAGGAGAGGGCCACCCTCATGACGGCTCTACCTCCTGCTGACTCAGTTACACAGGTGGCCTTCCTCCTCAGTCCCTGAGCAAATGCCCCCAAATCCTATCAGACAAAGGAGGTCAAATCAGCCAAGTGCCTAGCATGGCACATGACAGGTGCAGTTAGTGGTGGATCCATAGAGTCAGACAACGCCATTCAGAATCCTTTATTGGGGGCCTGCTGGGTGCAGTCCCCCCAATATCTCAGCTCACTTCCCTTGCCCCTCACCTCTATGGCAGCAATTCCTGCTTCCCTCCCCCCCTCCCCGGACTGGGGGTTACCACAGAGAGAAGGATTCATCCTGATGCCATCCTTCATGGATGACAGGGGGCCTCAGGACTCCTAGAAGTAAACTGCTCTCTTCCCAGCAGAGGGGCAGCCTCCGCGAGTCCACTGCTGCCACTTACACTACTTTCTCTAGGCAGCAGCGACGGCTGTAAGAATTGTCACATTTCTGGCATCTCTCAGAACTGGCCTCTGAATTGGGGGGAAAAGAGGGATTTTATTTTGCCCCATTAGAGGGGGGGGGCAGGGAAGAAAGGGGTAGTTTAGAGAAAGAGAGGGGTAGGAACAAACGAAAGAAACTTGGTGGTGGGGCGGGGGGAGAACTGCCCCGGTTTTCCAACTACAAGTCTCAGGTCCTGGAAACTCTTCAGGAGTGTGGTTGTCTAGGAGATCATCTCCCTAGGAGGAGGAGGGAGAAAGAGAAAAAAGAGGGGGTCCCTCCCCAGAGGGTGACAGACGATGGGAAGGGCAGAAATGGCGGGTCCAGGCATGCACGCCTGGCTCTGGGTGTGGGTCCCCCTGGGGAGCCAGGGGAAGAACCCACCTCTGGAACCATCCTGGGCTCCCGGGACCCCCTAGAGAGGGATCTGAGCTGAAACCTGAGTCATGACAGCCCCCCCGCCCCCAGGATCCTGCAGAGCCCTGGGACCCTCCCCCCAGAACACCTCACCTTTCATGGCGAACACCCCCCGGCAAAAGTCCTTGAAGTTGATTCTCCCCAGGTCGTTGGGATCCAAATATTTCACAAGTTTTTCCACCTGAGGAAAGAAAGAAGTGGCAGGTGTGAGGCCCCCAGAGACTCCTCGGAGAGCTCACGGAGCTGGGGTGAGGCTGGCCGGCTGGCCAGGAAGCTGGGGTGAAGGGAGGCTCGTCAACGAGCCAAGGGGCTGCCTGTGGTCCCCTCCTCGCCCTCTGCCCCTCGCCCTGGGGTCAGCACCAGCCCCAGACATGGGGGGGGGGGGCACGTTAGTCTCCTGAGGTTGACACACAGGACAACACGGTTTGTCCTGGAGCTCCTGTCTCCAAGTCCCTCCCATGAAGACCGGCACAGGGAGCGCGCACGCTCTGCTATTTTACCTTCATGGTTTCTTTCACACAAACACAATATACACTCACTGCAGAAACTCTAGAAAAGATAATAAATCAAAACCCTGCCATTTCCCACTTATCTTTTCAGTACATAGTATTAACTAACCACTTTTAAAAAAGTGTGTAGTTCTCAGAAACCCTTGGTCAAATTCTCATTTGTCTACAAGGAAGAAATAATTATGTCAGCATCACTGGGACTGCTCCCTCTCACCCACATCCAATCCACACCCAAAAAAATCTGTCTCAAAGCTACCTTCCCTTCTACATCACTGCTGGGATCCCACCTGGTCACAGCCATCATCGTCTCCCTCCTCGACTCTGCAAATCTCTTAATTCATCTACCCTCTTCAGCCCCTTTCAATGTATTCTTCACTCCAATTGGATGCCATCTACTCCTCTGCTTAAAATCTTCTAGTGACAGTTCAGATGAAATCCAACTCTGTAACATGGCCACAAGGCCCTACCTGATCTGGCCTCTCCAGCCCTATCTCTTCCCCCTCTTTCTGCCACTCAAGGCATCCCAGCTACATTGACCTTCAGTCAACTCCACAAGCAAACCAAGCTCTTTACTGCCTCAGGGCCTTTGCACATGCTGTTCTCTGTATTTCAAATACTTATCCTCCTCATTCATCATCTGCCAACACCTATTCATTCTTCATGTCTCCATTTGTACCTCTATTAATGCCCTCCCCCAAAGTCCTGTCCTGACCACTTACACCTAATGAGGCCTGTCCTGCTATTATCTGCTCATGCAGTACCCTGTACTTTTCCTTCAAAACACTTGTTGCCATGTGTAATTATATGTTTATGTGATAATTTTATTCATTTATATCTTCCCCTCTAGAAAATAAGTTCCTTGAGGGCAAGGACCATGTCTGTTTTGATCACCACTGTGTACCCAGTAGCTCACACCATGACTGGCATGTAGTAGAAGCTTCATAAATATTTGCTGAATAAACGAATGTAAATGATTCTCCAAAGCATCTCAGTTGTTAAGGCTTTTGAAAACAGTTGCCAAATCGTTCTCTGTAAAAATGTCTTAATTAATGATGTCTTCCATCAGAGCAACTTGCAAGCTTGGGTATTTTTACTAGTTTCTGGCAATGGTCAATTTTGTCAGATCGATCTGTTCTGATTAGTTGGAGCCATCCCTCCCCCTATGATTTCCAGCACCGGAAATTCAGCGTTGATATTACTTCTGGAAGCCCACTTCTAGATCAACCAGTAACTTAGTGGCGGCCACTGCACAGCACACACAAAGCGTTCAAGCATGCTTTCCTGACTCATTCATTCAACAAGCAACGACTGGGTACCTCCTGAGTGCCGGGCACGATGCTGGGGGCTGAGGGATAACCACACGCATGGTCTCTCTCTCTCTCACACACACACACACACTGAGTTATGCATACACACACACTTGTTGTCAGGCATCCCGCACCCCCATCTCCATCTCCACCATCAGTATCTAAAGGACCACCAGGCAGCTGGATAGCAGGTGATGGATACACAAGCACTTTGGAAACTGTAGTGCACAGCATGCAGGAAAGGGATTCCTGTCACTTGTTCTTGCAAATCCTGTCACGGCAGACACCCTCAGGTCTACACCCCCACCACCTGCTTTGAAGCCCATGCCATGGGGGGGTGGTCCAACTATTCATTAGGACCATGTTTCCTGCATGCCCACAGGATACTTCCAGCGAACAGGTGCAGCAGGGGTCTGAGCCCTGGTCACTGCCGGTGGCCTGGCATCAAAGCAATGTGCCCAGTGGGCTTTAGAAGATGACCGATGAGCAAGGAGAGACCTTACAACCCTCCTTCCTCCCTGAGCTCGGTGGCTTAACACTTGTACCTCTGTTCCCGCTGACACTGTTTGTCCACTTGGGTGTGAGTCTGCGGGTGGGGCATCACCCCCAAGCCTGGGACCTAGCAGGCTGTCAGGAAAGGCCAGAGGGGTGTCAGTGAAGGAGAAAGGCTTTCTACCAGCTCCTGCCTCGTCCGACTGGAGCCTCCTTAGCACGGCAGCTGTACCCCCACCCCCAGCCAAGGCAGCCTCTGACACTGCCAGGCAATGACGTGACTTCTGACAATATCAACGGCCAGGTGCCACCTGCAGGGCTGTGGAGGGTCCACCACCACCCCAGCTATGTGCTGCCTCCTCTCCTCCTGTCCTCTCGTCACCAGCACTGCAGGAGTCTATGAATGCAGGATGAGCTGGGCACCGGTACCCCCAAGCCACCTGGCGCTCATCCCTCGAAGGTTATGCATTAATTATCTCTGATGCAAGTCAAGGGCTAAACAGCTGATGAGGAGCCCAATCCCAGGTCCACCTGAGAGGCAGCAGCTGTGGCTTCAGATCTGGAACCCACGGAGTCGGTTCCTCTCCGGGACTGGAGACACTGGCCCGGCCAGGCTGTCCGTGGCCAGGAGCCAGCCTGAGGTGTGCGCTGACAACAGACATGGGGTCCTGCGGGCGCTGCGAGCCCCTGGAGCATCCTGAGCTGTGGCGCAAGCGACTCCCACAGGCTCTCTGAAGCGTAGTGGGCGAGCACGTGCAGCTCCAGCCTTTAGAAAACAGGCAGGCCCGTTGGAAAATCACTGTGACAAGACATACCCATTATATCGATAAATACCGAAACTGTAAGCTCAAGGATGTTCCAAATCTGCAACAGCGTAGCTTCTATGGGGAAGTACTAATGACCTTGCCACGCTCACCGGGGACTCCACAGGCTGCAGGCGGTGCTCATGGCCTGAGTCTCCTCTAACCCTCGCAGCAACCTAACAGCGGGAGTCTGCACTTCACGTGGAGGAGACTGAGGCTCAGAGGGTAGACGTGGGATGGTCCCCTCGGGGGAAACTCTTCCTTGACCCTGTGCTCCTGCCCCCTGCAGAGGCGGGCTCTTCCCCCACTGTCTGCCACAGTGTCCTCTCCGTTCCCTGTCACCCCAGTGTCCAAGGAGCTTGGCCTCTATGGCTGGAACCCCTCACCCTGGTTACCAAGCGCCTCAGCCTTCCTGGACTAGATAGCCTTTCCCGGTGCCCAGGGCGTGCGTTCAGCGGACCCAGCCCTTCACTTTACAGACAGGGAGGCCAAGTCGCAGGGAGGGGCGGGGGCTCGCTCAAGGTCACATGGCAAGTTCGGCAAGTAACCAGCTGCGTGTGGTCTTCTGGGGAAAAGGCCACAGGCGCTGGGGGCCGCCCGAGGGCGCAGGCGCGCGCACCTCGAACCCGGGGCTGCCAGAGCGGTGTGCAGGCTGCGCTGGGCAGGGACCGCCCGCCGCTGTGTCGCTGAGGCGCACACAGCTGGGCCGCGCGGCCGGCTGCCAGGGAAACTGCTTGTTTCCCTGGCAGTAAAATATTGATCTTTCCTTTTTGGGCCACTCAATTACCAGGCTTCCCCTTCTATTTCTGTTGCCTCTCTCTTCAGGCCGATTCCTTCCCCACTCATTCCCCCCGGGTCACATCTCTTCCAGCGCAGGCCAGACACTATTCCTCCCTTCACCGCCGCGCTCTCTTGATCACCAGCCAGATCCTCCCTGAGCCGGTGCCCAGACGCCCACGCCTCCCTAATTTTGAGATCTGCAAGCCAGATGGACTCAGCAAGCCTTTGGCTCTCTGAGGTCTCAGCTGCCTCCTCTGAACAAGGGGGTGAACTGGCTCCGTCTGCAGGTGACCTGCCTCATAACTGCCCAGGCCTGCTGGGAGCACTCCATCCGTGTGCATTCACCGCACCCTGCAGCCACCTCAGAAGTAGGCACTATTTTTATTCCCATTGTACAGGTGAGGAAACTGAGGCTCACAAAGGCTAAGTTATTCAGGGTTCAAGTCCCACAGCTAGTAAGAGGCAGAGTTGGGATCTGAACACAGGCAGCCTGGCCCCAGAGTTCATGCTCTTTACCAATAATTATTATTACTACTTCTACTAATATCATTAAAATCACTATTATTATTATCACAAGTCTGGGGGTTGCTCTGAGTGGAGAAAGAACACCTTTGTATTCTGCTCTCTCTTCACCTGGCAAACCTGGCAGGGTTTTCTGCAGAGAACCTTTAATACTTTGAACACAGGAAGTCCTGACTTAACATCACCGAGAGGGACTGCGATTTTAAGCGAAATAATGTAAACAAAACCATAGTGTAATTGATCTAAACAAGAGTGAAATCTCTATGGCATTCCATCAACTTTATAACAAAATGACACCGAATGAAGCTACATTATTTGAGCGAGGATCTGATGGATTTAAAGGAAAAAGTATCATTCCAAATGTGCGTTTCAAGTAGAGGTCTCCAATTAGCATCCCGAATGTGGCTCGTAGACCGTTAAACTTTTTAAATTAGATGCCAAGATCAAAAAACCAAGGAAGGCTTCTGGTTCAGATTAAGGCAGAGTCAACACATTTATTCTTCCACTGATTATAAATAAAACCTCTGGACAGAATACATGGAGCAACTACATGAGGACTCTGCAAAGTAAATAGCAGAAAAATTGGGAGGAAAGAAAAAAAAAAAAACTTGAAGTGAAAAATAAAAAAATAAAAAAACAAGCCAAACAAAATCTTCAAGTCAGAGGAGTGTGTGGTGGTGAGGGTTCCGATGTATTTTTTCCTCACATATTTTCCTCCCTAGATTCAGGTAGCCCAGAGCCCAGAACTACACAGCAGGTAGAAACGGGCAAAGCCCCAAAAGAAACTCTGTTTTGATGAGAGGCCAGGGAGGGGCCCTTGCGGGCAGAGAGCCTGGAAGAAACGCAGTGTTGTTTCCTTCTCAGGGGGCCCAGCCCCACCGCAAGGCAGGCCCAGTCCCAGAACGGGGCGGGGGCAGCATCGCAGCGGCCAGGCGGGCACCTCAAACTCTCAGGGAGGAAGAGCTTTCTCTGTGGAAAGAGAAACTAGGAGAAGTGGCCCCTGTGGACGAAGTGTGGGGGGAAATTCCTGTGCATTCCTCTTTTCCCTCTCACCACGTCGTCCTGCAGGCGAACCAGGAATGGGAAGTGTCAAACAACACGGAGAGGCAGAAACCTCAGATTTCTAACCAAAGTATCAGGAAAATGGCCCCTGGGAGCTAGAGGTGGGGGAATCACAGAGCGAGTTCAAAAATAGGATTCCAGCCCTGGCCGGTTTGGCTCAGCGGTTAGAGCGTCGGCCTGGGGTCCACAGAGACCTGGGTTCGGTTCCCGCTAAGGGCGCGGATCTCGGCTGCAGTTTGTCCCCGGCCCTGGTTGGGTCGTGTGGGTGGCAGCCACTCGATGTGTCCCTTTCACGTCGATGTTTCTCTCTCTCTTACTCTCTCTCCCTCCCACTCTATCTGAACAAAAAATGGAAAAATGTCCCCAGATGAGGATAAAAAAAGAAAAAGAGAATAGGATTCCATCAAGTTGTGTTTGAAGTCCTGGGCTCGCTCCTAAGCTGCATGTACTTGGAACTAACCCCCAACAGCATACCAAAGGCTTCAAGGACTGTATGCCGTGTGACAGGGAACGGGCTGGCCCCTAAAGAATGAGCCGTTGAGGTGGATCCAAACAGCACTTCAAAGGCTTTGACAATGGAACGGACATTGGAACTCAAGCTCCGAGGGCAGACTGGACTCTAAGGCTTCAACCTAACTGGCTGGATTTAATTATTTAAAACGTAAACAAACAAAGCACTGGTATTCTTCAGAGGATTTTAACAGGACTCAGAGACTCAGAATGTAATACTCAAAACACCCAGAACAGAATCCATAAGTACTTGACATACACGAAAACAAAACAGGAGACGTTCAACATTGCGCAAGGGAAACGGCAACCCTAACAAATAAATGTCAACCCCGGATGACCCAGATGTCCACCGAGACTTTACAGCAGTTATCATAACCATGCCCCACGAAGGGTGAACACTCTTAAAACAAATAGAAATATAGGAATTCTCAGCAAAACAGGAAAAGAAAAAGAAGAAGCTATAAAAAAAGGAACAAAATGGAAATTCTAGAAAGCAAAAAAGAAAAACCTGAAATAAAAATCTACTGGATGGACTCAGTAACTGAATGAAGATGACAGGAAAAAAAAACAAATCAGTGAATTTGAAGACAGAACGATAGAAATGATCTAATCTGAACAAGGAAAATTACCAGAGATTAAGAGGAACATTACATAAAAGGTTGAACTCACTAAGAAGACATAACCATGCTAGGCTCCCCTGCCTGAGTAGCTCAGTTGGTTAGATCATCATCCAGATATGCCAAGGTTTCGAGTTCGATCCCCAGTCAGGGCATATACAACAATCAGCCAATGAATGCATAAATAGTGGAACAATAAATTGATGTTTCTCTCTCTAAAAATCAATAAAAAGAAATTTTAAAAAAGACATAACCATGCTAAACGTGTATACACCTAACAACAAAATTTCAAAAATGAGTGGAGTTGAAAGGAGAAACAGATAAATTAACTATTCTAGTTGGAGACTGTAACACTTCCCTCCAACAATGAATAGAACTCATCAGATAGAAAATCAAAAGATCTGAACACCACCATTAACCACTTCCTAACTGACATTTACAAAACTCTCACCCAGTAATAGCAGAACACACATTCTTTTCATGTGTGAATGGAACACGCACCAAGACAGATTGTATCCTGGGGCCATTAAGCAAAACTTTACAAAATTTGAGAGTTGAAATTATACAAACTATGTGTTATGACCATAATGCAATTAAATCAATAACAGAAAGACAGCAGAACATTTCCCCAGGATCTGGAAATTAAACAACACATATCTAAATAATCCATGAGTCAAAGAAGTCTCAAAGGAAATTTGAAATATTTTAACTTAAATGACTATAAAAATACAACATAAAATTAAAACCCAAAGTAAGAAGAAGGAGAGAAATAATAAAAAGAAGAAATTTAAAAATTGAAAACAAAAACAGTAGAGAAAAATCAATGAAGACAAAATCTGGTTCTTTGAAAAGATTAAATTGGTGACTATGTAGCCAAACTGACAATAAAAGAAAAAAAGGAGAGAAGATAGAAATGACTAATATCCGAAAACAAAGCAGGTATCATTATAGTCTTACAGATTTTAAAAAGTTATTAAGTACTGAGGATTTGCAGGGCAGTGAAAATACTCTTTATATCATAATAATGGATAAATGTCATTATACAGTTGTGCAAACCCACAGAATGTACAATACCAAGAAGAGTGAACCCTGGGGGGAAAAAGGAGAAACATCTGTAACAAAAATAAAATAAATAAATTTTTAAAAAAGGAAGTGAGCCCTAAGGTAAACTATGGACTCTGGGTGATCATGATGTATTAGTGTAGGTTAATCCTCAGTGAAAAATGCACCCACTCTGGTGACTAATGTTGATAATGACAGAGGATGTGCATTTGGGGGAAAAGAGTGAATGAAAAATCTCTAGACTTCCCTCTCAATTTTGTCGTAAACCTACAACTGCTTTAAAAAAAAATAAGGTCTTTTTAAAAAAGGTTAATAAAGGAACACTATAAATACTTTTGTGATCATAATTTCTACAACTTAGATGAAATGGACCAATTCTTTGAAAGACACAAGCCACCAAAATTCAGATGCTCAATGTCACTAATCATCAGAAATGCAAACTAAAAACCCCATGAGAGACCTCACACCTGTCGGAATGGCTATCATCAGTGACTCAACAAACCCCAAGCACTGGCGAGCATACGGAGAAAAGGGAACCCTCATGCACTGTTGGTGGGAATGCAAAATTTTTCCACTATTGAAAACAGTATGGTGTTTTCTCAAAAAATTAAAAATGGAACTGCCTTAAGACCCACCAATTCCAGTTCTGGGAATATATCCGGAGAAACCTGAAACACTGATTCGAAAGAACATATGCACCCTGTGTTCAATGCAGCACTATTTACAATAGCCAAGATTTGGAAGCAGCCCAAGCGTTCATCAGTAGATGAGTGGATAAAAAAGCTGTGGTACATCTGCACAATGGAATACTACTCAGCTGTAAAAAAGATGGAAATCTTATCTTTTGCAACAGTATTTATTTGCTAAGTGAAATAAGCTAGTAAGAGAAAGACAAATACCACATGATTTTACTTGTATATAGAATCTAATGAACAAAATAAACTAGCAAACAAAACAGAAACACACTCAGATACAGAGAACAGACTGACAGCTGTCAGAAGGGAAGGGGTTTGTGGGGCTGGGTGAAAAAGGTAAAGGGATTAAGCAAAACAACCCAAACATAAACAAACTAATAGACACAGACAACAGTATGGTAATTACCAGAGGGTAAGGGGGTGGGGAGAGGTAGGGTAAAGGGGGGAGAAAAGGTGATGGAGGGAGACTTGACTTGGGGTGGTGAACACACAGTACAATATACAGATGATGTATTATAGAATTGTACACCTGAAACCTATATAATTGTATTAACCAATGTCTAATAAATTCAATTAAAAAAAACACCACCAAAATTCACACAAGAAGAAAGAGGTGATTCGAATTGTACCATAATAATTAAAGAAATCAAGTTCACAGTTAAAATCTTTCTAACACAGAAAACTTCAGGCCCAACTAGTTTCACCAAACATTTAAGAAAGACATACATAAATTCTACACAATCTCTTCCAGAAAATAGAAGTGGGGAAACACTTCTCAACTCATTTACTGTGGCATCAACCACTGTGATACTAAAACCAGACAAGAGCAGTATAAGAAAACTACAGCCCACATCCCTCATCAGCACAGACACAGTGGTCCTGAAGAAAACATTAGAATATATATACACAACACAACAGGGCCGCGGCCACGTGGGATTTATCCACCAAGTCCGATCCCACATTTGAAAATCAGCTGATGTGATCTAAAGATGACTGACAAAGAAAAACCACGGTCCTCTCAACAGATGCAGACAGAGCTAACGACAACATTCAACACCAATTCACGATAAAAACTGCAGCCAACTCGGAGGAGGACTTCCTTACCCTAGAGAAATGAAAACTTCCGCACACAGAAATACTGTCACAAAGGCCTCTAACAGCATTCTACATACTCGCCCCAACCTCGCACATGTCCCCCGACAGGTGAGTGGATAGGCAAACTGTCCGGTAAGAAAAGGAAACAGCTATTGATACCAAGCAAATGAATGAATCGCAAAAGCATTGCGCCCCGTGAAAGAAACCCGTCAGGAGCATCACAATGTGGAAAGGCACAGCTGTTAAGGCCGGGCGGGGACAGATCAGTGGCTGCCAAGGGCAGGGGTGGGAGGGGAGTCTGAATACGAAGGGGCAGCATGGGGGAATCTGGGGGGTGAACTGCTCTGCACCCGGATGAAGGGGGTGGCTCCAGGAATCTAAGCACATGTTAACACTCGTGGACTCGCACGCCCCTCCCCCACATACCTGAATTTTATTATCGATGCAGCTAACATGTGTTTAACCCAGGGGAGCTGCACACACAGTGTGGCTGGCTGGCAACACTGCACCATATTCCCCCAGCTCCAATGGGCCGAAGCTGAGGTGCAGCCGACCCTTCAGACAGGCGTGTGCTCTGTTCCCCGGTTCACTCGGTGACCCCGTCCGCCTGCCCCCGCATCTGCTGCTTCACTTGCTGGAGCCCTTGGCCATCTGAGTGGCAAGCCCTGCTACCCTGGGCAGTAACAGGCTTCCCTGGGCGCCTGAGGTTTCCTGCACCTGCCACAGGAGCGCCAGGGCGTGGCCTGGGTGGGGCAGAGCCCGTGAGACTCGGGAGGAAGAGACAGCGCAATGGAAGGCAGGGGGTGGGCTCTGGAGTCAGGTTTCCTGAGACTCGCTGAGGCAGGCTGGGAAGTGCTTTCAGGACCCCAGTTCTGGTGGGAGCTGCTCAGCCCTGGGCCGTCCCCTGCCCCAGACCATCAGTCAAAGCCCAGGCCACCTGCAGAGCCTGGACTACCTGTGGGGAGGGGCCCTGCAGGGGGCCTGGCAGCTGCTGGAGCTGAGAGCCCCTGTGCTCAAGGGCACCAGCCTGGGGGCCCTAAGCTCAAGGGACATCCATGGGGACAGTGGAGCATGAACCTGGACCGGGGCGTCACGAATCCAGGACTAGCTGGACAGTCTTCCCCTGGAAGGGGCGGGAAGAGAGGGCCGGCAGGCGGCAAAGCAGAGCAGCGGACGGAGGGAGGGGATCCCTGCTGAGCGAGGGGTCTGCGTGGCTGGAGGCAGGGAGGGAGTGGAAAAGGGGTGTCACCAAGGTGTGAGGCCAGAGAGAGGACAGGGTCTGAAGGGCAAGGGCTTGGGGGCCATGGCGAGATGCCGCGCTCTTTCTGGAAGGTCTGGACGGCAGAGCTGACACCGCGGCCCACCAGGCTCGCTAGCTCACAGGTGCGGAGCTCTCCCGGAGTCAGGGTCACTGCGAGCACTCACCGGGCACTCCTTCCTCCGCGCGACAGGCCGTGGGACGGCCCACCTCACAGCCCCAGACCGCCTGGCCTCCTCCCACAGCAGGGGGTGGCACTCAGATCCCCACCCCTGCTCTGTGGGCCCCTCCTCCTGGGGCCTCAGAGCTGCTGCTTTATCCACTTGCCCGGGCAGCCCAGCTGCCAGATGTCGACATCAGGACACACAATGGGGCCTGTATTCTACCTCCACCCCCACCCCAGGGACAAAGGGCACAGAGGTGGGGAGGAGGCAGCCACTGACCTCGAAGGGTTGTGGGAGGGGAGGAGGGAGGCAGGTAAGAGTTCCAGTGAAACCAGCTGGGACAAGGGTTCCGGAGTGGGTCCTGCTGGTCCCTGCGAGGGTGCAGGGGGCCCAGGCCCACCAGCCCCTTCCAGAGGCCTGCTCTCCCCCTGTAAAGGGTTGTCCCATGGAGTCAGTCAGACTAACCCTGAGCAGACCCCAGGTGGATGGGGAAGAGTGTGACATTAGGAGTCACAAGCCAGGGGCTCAGGGTCAGCTTTGGAATTTGTGGGGCGCAGTGCGAAATGGAAATGCTGGGTTTCTGTTCAAAAATGACTCAGAATTTCCAGGGAGGGACCACAGAGCACTGAGCCCGGTGTGACAGCATGGGCCACATGCCGGTAAGGCTGGCTCTGCCCGGGCATCAGCACTACTCACAGTGCGACCTCAGGCAGGTTGCACCTCCTCTCTGCCATTATCTGTGCTGCACTCCTGACCAGCTCACAGGACCCCAGATCAGAGACTGGCTGAGTAAAGGATGTCATGAACTGTGCAGTGCCATGGAGGTGTCCCCTACAAAGGTGCATGAAGAGGGACCTGAGGGGGAGCCTCCACCATGGCAGGAGCGGGCAGAGGGCTACCAGCTGGCTGCAGGGCTGTCTCGGGTGGTAGAGGTGATAAGTAGAGTGGGTGCCAAGCCCTTTTGCAGTCTCAGGGATGCTGGGCTTCTGCGACCCTCGGTGCAGTCCCCAGCCATCAGTGAATTTACTGAGTGGTCTTAGGGAGACCCTTCCTCACTTGGAAAATGAGTGTTAGATGATAATAATATTAAAGGTACTGTTTTCCCTGTCCCCCTTGGAGCAGGGCAGCCCTGGTGTTGCTGAGATGCCTACCTCCTGTCTGACCAGGTGCCTTTAAGCACCTCAGCCCTAGAACATGAGTCCTGATTGGACCAAGCCAGTCAGATGGGCTCATCCCCCTTGCCAGTGATTGGGTTAGGCAAAAATATGCTATACATTTCTGACCAATGAGACCTGAGGAAACATCTGTAGGAGGCTTCTAGAAGAGTTTTCTTTAATGATGGGGGTGGGGGGAGAGGCCATCCACAGGAAGTGCTCCCTCCCTCCTTGCCCTCAGGGAAAGTGGACACCATCTTGGGCCTACTCGGGGAAACTGAGGAAGGGGGTTGGGTCCCGGATGATGCCTCTGAGCCCCTGAAGGAACCAGCCCTGGAGGTGCCTCACTTTGAGCCTGTGTGTTGTGAGAAAGACTACATCTCCCTCCCCATGGAAACCATTTCATTGGCTCCTGGCTCTCGGGCTGGGGGCCCCTAGCTGATGAAGGACTCTCCAGAGTGCAGGCTACCAGGTGCTGGGAGGGCGGCCTCCTGAGCCCAGAGCTCAGTGTTCAACGAAGAAGGCCATGCGGCCAGGGTGGCCAGCCATACAGTACCCAGGCCACCACCTCCTAGGCTGGAAATGCCTTCCTGTATGAGACCCCATCATGTCCCAGTGTCATCAAAAGCGTCCCCCCTCACTCACAGCCTGTGCTGCTGCTGACCAGAATCCCGGGGCCACCTAAGAGGGCTTTGTTGGTCATCTGAACAGGAATGAAGGACAGAAGCCTGGGTGGTCTCTGAGGTAGACTGGCCTAGGCATCTGTCCATCCATCTGTCCACCTGTCTGTTCCTTCAGGAAATGTTTCCTTAGCTCCTCAGCCAGACTGCCCTGTGGGGGCACAGCTCCAACGAAGCTCCCGGGGAAGGGACAGATGTCCTGCCATATTTTTAGTGAAGCAAAAATAGCTTAGGGAACAGCATAAAAGTAGGTAGGTGACTGTTAATACTGTCACACGCCCAGGGGCAGTACAACGTCACTCTGGAAGTGGATAGAGCTGGGCTCGAATCCCATCTCTTCCTTTACTAGCTGTGTGACCAAGAGTGACTGACTCAGCCTCTCTGAGCAGTAACATCTGCCCCATGGAATGTTAGGATTTAACCAGAAAGACATCAAGACAGCCTGGAACCCGGCACGGAGGGAACTCCAGATAAATGAGTGTGTTGTTGGTTAACAGGCAGCCCATGCAAGGAGCTGAGACAGGTTATCTCCATATGCTGGGTTAGCCAGTCCTGCCTCTTCTTTCTACATGCAACTGGTTGAATTGAAAAAAATTACATTGGATCATTTTTAAACTCAAGGGAATAAAACAATAAAGCTCTTTTGTATTCTTTAAAAATTACTCATACATGTTTGATATGTATGAGGTTTGATAAGACAGACTCCACCGTAAAGCACCAGGGTTACCTGGAAGGAGCCACTCAGAACCCTGGCAGTGGGGGTCCAGAGGAAACGGGTTTGGAGACCTGCTCCCGCGAGAACCCGGTGCTGCTGGTCCCTGGGCCACACTGGGAGGCGTCCAAGGACCTTCCAGGATTCTGAAGCAGGGGTCCCAGAGCGAGTCCAACCTGTATACGCCACTTGGGACGCTGGGGTGGGCCCAAGGACAGGTGGGCTAACCCTTCTGATGAAGGTGGGTGGTGAAGCCAAGGCTGTCCTGCCTCTGGGGGAGTTTTCCTGGCCATGGGGACAGGGACGGGGCTCACCTCGCCAGGGGAGGGGCACTGCCCTGGGACATCACTTCTGGGGGAGGCGCAGCGCTCAGGGTGCCATGGAGGGGGCGCCTTTCATCTGCCACTGGTCCTGGCCCCTGTGTCAGGCCTTGGCTTGGCATCTGTGATCCTCAGAGTAGTTTGAAGGGTGCTACGCTTTGGTTGCTTTGGTTGGTTTGGGGCCCATTATTTACTGTCAAATGGGACTGTTTGCTCATCAAAGGGCAGTGCTGGCCTGCGGGAGTTAGGGGCCCAGCCCCTCACCAGTGCTCCTTCCAGGCCTGGTCCCTGGACCCCGCCTCGCCATCCACTCCTCCCCCATTCTCCAAACTGGCCTAGCTCTGGTTCTGATCACCCCACTGTGGAATCTCTGGATCAGGGTGAGGAGAAAAGCAGCCTCACTACAAACGTGCCACGAACCTCTAGACAACCCCAACCTCTGTGTTCAGACTCTTCCTGTGGGGACCGAAGGAGACTGTGGATCTGAGAGCTCTTGGCAAAAAGTAAATGTGCAGGCGGTCTCCTGGCCCACTCCCATGCCAGGCGGCGCCTGCCCCCACCCGGGAAGGAGAGACACCTGGGGAAGCTCCCTGGGTCCTCCTGGCACCACGCGGCTTAGGGAGTGCAGGAGGGGCTGACCGGCCCTCCTCGAGCTCCGGCCCTGAGCGCCCGGCGGACGATGGGCGCGAGGGCTGCCACGTCTCCGGCTTTCTCGTCCCTATGTCCTCTCTGCTGCACCTGTCCCCCTCTTTGGGAAGCAGCCCCCCACTCCCAGCGGTGGCCGTGCAAAGCACCCAGGAAATTCCTTAGGGCCAGTGGAGGTGGGGAGAGCTTCCAGTCCGTTCATCGGAGGGAGCTCTTCCCAAAGGCAAATTCCTTCTCCAGCACGCACAGCAGTAAAGAAAAGGCAAGAGGCCTGGCCTGTTTATTTATAATTTGTACCTCACCCCAAAGGAAGTAGATAGAGGCCGGGGGTCGAGGGAAGAGGACCAATGTAAGAGGGTCCCTGGCACGGGAGGAACTAGGGCTGTGGCACCTCATTTACCCTCACGCCAGCCCCTGAAGGGAGGGTTCTTGGCTTCACTTTCTAGACCAGGAACCAAGGCCCGGGAGTCAGGCGTGCAGGGGTCTTCCCGTGCGGTGGGTGGCCAGTGAGCTGCTAGCCTTTGTGGCCTCTAGGCAGAGGGACAGGGCGATTCCCACCCTGGTCGTCCCACCCGGGCTCTGCAGAGTTCAGTCAGTGTGGACCCTGGAATCTGCATTTCCAACGGTCTCCCCTGGAGAATCTGGTGATGAGATGTGGCAGAGAAATCCCAGTTGAGTGGTGGGTGTCCTCACACAGGCAGGGCCCTGGGGGCTTGGGCTTCCAGCCTGGCATATGCCCTCGGAGGCTGGCAAGAGGGTGGTTAGAT